CACCATGGCAATGAAACAGCGAGGTGGATATGATATACGGTTATTTTCATAATTTGATTAAATTCCAGCTGAGCGAAGCGAAACCGTGACGAAAATAGATACGAAATGATATTAATAGTATATGAATTCGCCATAAAGTATATTGGTATTTCATGAGATTTATTGAGATCTTTGATGATTTTACCTTATATTTATTTGATCTTTTATTGTTCAGACAAGATTAGTTACTTCTCCGAATCGATCTACAAGCAGGCAATTCCATTAGGAGATCGCAACAGTAATTTGTACATATATCAAATTTGATGAGAGGGGGCGAAGCTCTTTAATCGGCTATATCTATATTTACACTGTAATAAATGTAACTGCATTTGAGGATTCGGTGTATTCCAATTTATTAACTGGTATTGTAATTTGATTACCGCCATATTCATTTGACATATTTAGACTCAGGAACCTATCATACTCGTTTCTCAGTTTGATTTTCGATATGAACACATCATACCTTGAAAATCCAAGATGGGAACCTATCCTCGAGGAATATTGTGTTATTTTGTATATCAAAAGATAGAAATAAAATAATCACATGCCACAGACCTTTATTCAGATGTGGACCACTCAGCCAAGTACGCTTACTACTTTCAAAAATACATACCCTGCATCCAGACTCTAGTTATAGATTATACGAAGACGAAGCCGTCTTTTAACCAGAACAACGGCAACGCCAAAGCGTAGCGAATCCCATCGAACATTTTTCAAAACGGGCACCTTCTACCAAAAGTGTCATTAGACAGTGTGCCATGCTTATAATATTCACATACTAAATATGAACAAAATCGCTCTACTACTTTTCGAGTTATAGTAAAAAACGTTAAAATGGTGGCCATTTTGAAAAATGGCCGCTTCTACCAAAAGTCTCATTAGACAGTGTGCCATGCTTATAGTATTCACATACCAAATATGAACAAAATCGCTCCACTACTTTTCGAGTTATAGTAAAAAACGTTAAAATGGCCGCCTTCTATCAAAAGTGTCCTTAGACAGTGTGCCATGCTTATACGTATTCACGTACCAAATATGAACAAAATCGCTCCACTACTTTTCGAATTATAGTAAAATAAGTTAAAATGGCAGCCATTTTTCAAAATGGCCGCCATTTTTCAAAATGGCCGCCTTCTACCAAAAGTGTCATTAGACAGTGTGCCATGCTTACAGTATTCACATACCAAATATGAACAAAATCGCTCCACTACTTTTCGAGTTACAGCAAAAATCGTAAAATAACGAGTAAAGGCCGCCATTTTTCAAGATGGCTGCCATGTGCTTTTTTAATATGTACATTTCTAGCTTTATTAATGTCCTATATAATTTTTTTACATTTAAAACATATTGCTATTACAGTTTTACATATTGCACCTAAATTACTGTAAAATCGGCACTAAAATGGCCGCCATTTTTAAATGAGCGGCCATTTTGAAAATCGGCTTTCGAGCAGAACTTCTACCCCCATAGGGTATATGTGTACAAACTATGAATAAAATCGGGCCAACGATATTTGAGTTATTGCCCGGACGGACGGATGGACGGACGGAGGCGTTCCCTATATCCCTCCGAACTTCGTTCGATGGGGTAAAAACGAAGTCAAACGAATGCAAAGGGTGTAATATTAATACGATAGCTCGGCCGGGAATCGAACATAGATGAACACGTTATTGCAACCCCGCAGGGCACATGTTTTACACTTCCCTCCATTAGTTTGACAACCGAACATTTTTTTATTGGATAACATATTGAAACCCTATCAATGTTTGATTCTTTATCTTGTTCCTTCATAAAGATTGTTCGGAAAATGACTGCCAATTAAACCTGACTTAGGTAGCAGAACAATGCAATAGAATGAACTGTTGTTTATTTTAAAGAAGGCACGTAACAAAGCACTTGCTGAGCTCCATATGGCACAAAAGACGTATCAATCGTCGAATAGTCCATACAAAAAATCAGACTTTACAGCTGAATAGTACAGTGTAAGCTTCAATGGATCACGGACCGACGGCCCTCGGCCATTATTTCACCCAATACCCAGTACTCATGGTTTATATATCACATAGACAAATGTTGACATGTGATCCAATAGGGTGCTTCTGCTGGTTGCCGAACTTCTGAAGAATGGTGTATCACCAACGTATTAGTTAAAACCACTGCGATCTAATTAGCCGATGACTCATCAAATTAGACTGACTGGTAGCTGGCCTGACAATATCCATCAGAAACTACTTTTATATGACATTTCCCTGATATGTAACTGAATGAATGCAATGAAGTAAGTTAATTAAAAATTGATATGATGAATGTTCACAAAATTTAGGAAATACCATCCGATACTAATCTCATATAGAAAATACCATTCACAAAATACTAATAACCTCATTTCAAAGGGCAACGTGGTGAAATCTTGGCCCGAAATGAAGTTATTACCATTATCATCACCCATTGAAAACAAACAACAAACTCGTTCTTTGCCTGGAAACTATGAATACGAAACTTTTGGAGGGGAGTGTAATTTAGTTTCTTATTTCATGGTTCCTACATGTACATTGAAGCCACAGTACAATACTTTTTGATAATTTGGCCAAAAAGGCCCAAAAAGGCCCAAAAAGGCCAAGTATTGCTTATTGAGGCCCTACAAAATTTTTGCCCCCCCCCCCCTGGATCCGCCAGTGCTGTAAGTGCTGTTTTGCGATGGCACTTTTGTTTGGTGAAATGAAGATAAATACAAATACAAATAGCTATTTTAAATAATTTCCTGTCCACAAAAACAGTTATTAATAAACAGTTATAAATTTTTTTTTTTTTAAGGTTAAGTTTTATTTCTTTGCATAATTTTATATAACAATATTTAACATACTAGGAAGGCCGAGGTAAAATTACATTGTTGGCCTCCCTATTAAATAAAAGTAGCAAAATAAAGTTGATATAAATGGTTTCAGACATGTATTGTAAATGTATTGTTTATAAGAGTCTCAGTGGCCACAGTTGAGATGATGATAACAATAGTGATGATGATGGTGATGAAATGTTGAGGCTAATGCTAAATGATAGAATCAACAAAATTTGCCGTAAGGTTCATAATATCAGCATTACATTTATCTGAGAACTTATGATCACCAAAAAGTATGGTGTGGACTTTATCTACACTATTTAGACTGGCAAATTCTCTAAAGTTAAAATTTTGCAGCTCTTGTAGTTTTTGGGTAAAGATTGACCTTGTTCCAGTTGATAGAGGGCAGTAAAGTAATAAATGGGACTTAGTTTGCTGGGCATGTCCACAAGGGCAACTTGGGTCTGGATAGTTGTTGAAGTTGTGCCTAAAAAAGTCTGATTTAAGTGCTAGGTCTGCTCTTAAACGGTTTAGTTTAATTTCAATAGATCGATTTAAGTTCAATTTTGTTGTCAACACAGACCTAGGGTTTTGGTTATATTTGGTTTTCTTATACCTTGACTTGAAGGCTGATATTGAGGGGCTGCGTTTAACTTCAGGTGAAATCATTTTCCATATTCTTATTGGTGCTATGGCAGGAGAGTTTGTAAATTTCATTGAAGATTTTGCTGGAATATTATATTCGTGCTGGGCACGAAGTACACGCTCTGTACCTGGATTTTTAAGTTCATTGTATATAGATTGTACGTAACTAGGAGTCTTGTTTTTGGATACCTTATACATTAAAGTTGCCATTTTTTCTTCTCTTCTCTGACTTAGTGTCTTCCAGTTAAGTGAATTTAAGACTTTGATTTCAGAGGAGCCCTTAATGGCCCCAGAGACTAACAAGGCAGCTCTGTAGTGTAACCTATCCAAGGTATTTAGGGCATAACAGTTATAAATTATGAATATGAAACCTTTTGTTTGAATTGTATGAATGATGCATTGTCACCAAACAAATGGGTGTTCATTTTCCGCTCTCGGGTGCATCCTGGTCCAAAAGGAAGTTCTGGCATTATCCTAGTAAGGGTGTAATTCCGTGCAAGGTACGCTGCAATTGACGCATGTCCGGTAGACACAGGTGCGGTAATCTGATGATAAATAGTTTTTTGGAATGTGATATCAATAGTATAGCATACTAAATGCCCATGGACATTCAGTTTAAGTGATACAGCCACTCAGATAACGAATATTGTCCTGATTAATTTCACATCAGTATCTAGGTTAAAATTCATTCATTGTTCATGGTTATTTGCGATTATCGAAATTTCCTCATGCTGAAAGACACGGTGAGATATTAGATATTCATGAATTTGGGCCATTTTTGAAAATGCCGAAACATCAAACGATATCCGTTTAGAACTTGGAAGCAGAGAGAAATTGACAATAGAGCTATTTAGCAAAACCCTCTAAATGACGAAATTAAGCGGCCCATCTCTCACACTAAGTGTTTGATATCGGGTTCACAATGATTTAGAATTCTAGAGCTGTACTGACAAATAACACCGACCTGCCCCTGGATGGCATTGCCGTGTTCTGGTAAAATCGAAACGCCAACCTATACAACCAACCAACAACTTATACAACCAACTTGTACGCACAGTATGACCAATTGCCCATACAAATGAATCGTTTATATATTCCGTTCACGTTTAGGTTGTGAAAAACATTGCAAGCTTAAACTCCTTATTGTCACGAGCACAACGCTTACAAAATATGGCCAAAACCTCTCTGATTGCTGACAATGTTATATCTGCTGCCCCCTATTATATAGTTCGATCGAAAGGAAATAAAATACCAGGCCTTGATTAAAGATGTCTCGAGATGTTGGCTAGAGCAGTTGTAAGCGAAAACATCAAGTAATCTTGCCATCTTTTTTAGTCGGCAGAATATATATTAGCCATACTCATATCATGGGCTGACATAACTAGTATTGGAAAATCAACCAAAGATGGATAAACTTTCTTTGTTTGTGAAAATAGTTGATATAAAGCTGGTCAATGATCAATCAAAATGGTTAACTTACCTGTCAACATAGACATGGTCGTCGTCTTGCCAGCACCGTTGTGCCCGAGTAACGCAGTGATCTGACCTTCATACATGTTCAAGGTCATACCTGCTACAGCTGTTTTCTGCCCAAACTCCTACAAAAGTAAAAAGAACATTTTCAGTTTTTCTTGTCTTCCCGTTTTTGAGACAACAAAAATTCCATTGACATACGTAGCATTTATTGGTAGCCCTTATTACATTGCCCTCCTAAAGCAACAATAGGTTTCCGATGGACTAGGTGTTGATTGTTTGTACAGAGTGTGATTTCCCCAAAAAATCATCAAAGTCATAATTAACCTCCAATCTGCAAGAATCTGCAGTATATTAGATCATCAATGTTCGATTGCTTGATTATGTTTGGCGATGAATTCAGTCCAAACATGAACGACCCAAGCTTTAGCAGGCTTCGATGGGGAGTTGCCATACTTTTGGAGGGGAGTGTAAAATATATTCGTTCTTAACTATCCAAAAATGACATACAGTAACACAACAAGTATACATTCTCCTCAACATGTACAGGTCAATACGAAACAAATTTGGGACCGAGAAAAAGTGTTCACATTGAGAGGCAAAGATTAGATAAATGTTCGAATACACAGGTTTCATAGTAATTAAAATGCTACTATTTTTGATCTAACAAACTAATTCTTTGAGCTACACTAGTAGAGAGATGTTAAATGTATCTATACGAAATTTATTTTCAATATATACGCAATGCATCGTGCCTAACCTTTCTGAGATTCCGTATTTTTATTCCAGGGTTCAAACGCATTGGTTCTTTTTCGAAGTACTCCGAGTTTTGCCCATATCCTCCACCCATGATTTCCTCGTCATCATCCCCCACTGCATTCAGCTGCTTGGCCCCGCACCAATAACTTCTCTATATAAAACAATAAAATATGCAGTAGAATTTGGAATGTTGTGTACATGCACATTGCAGGTGTTTGCCAGGATGGGCTCTTTCAGATAGGGTATGTAGTTCTTAAAAATGAGGCTACTTAAAATGATTCTAAATTTGATTTTAAAACTGCCAATTTTGACAAACCATGCCGTTTTTGACAAAATGTGTCTCCTAAAAACTTCCAAAAAGCATATTTGTCAAGAAAATGTGGATTAAACTTAATTTTGATGAAAGTAAAGAGGTGTGCGGGGGTCGTACAGCCCAAAAGTCCCCCGCCAGAATTGTATTGTATGTTATCTTAGGCAATATATATAAAACGTGAAACATTAGCAGATGGTGGAGCTGCCAGTGTATCTATGGTTAATTTTTTAATAAAAGAGAGGTTTTTGGTTAAAATCAAAGTGAAAAAAATGAATATATGAAATGCACATAAATACTCAAATCGAGAAAAGACAAACGTTATTAACGTCAAAAACATTATCAAATAGAAGATGGGTTAAAACTTAATAGACTAGGGATGTACCAACTAATAGATGGACAGGCAAATACCGACTGCAAGTAACTTGTATAAAGAGAATTGATAACAATTTAAAAGCAATTCCTTAAAAAGTTACAAAACATTAACGTTCACTTACCGTGAAGGGAAAATACCATGGCTGTGGTATACCGTATTCCCCGGGGAACACACCCTCCACGTACCATGTGACTAAACCGTATAATACAGCGTCTACTATTAACATTAGGAAAATATGGGCCATCGTAAGACTGTCGTCTACTGATACAGGAGTAAAGAAATAACGCCATTGCAGACCAGAGCCTAAAATTAAGTAATGACATGAAAGGGTTTTAAGTTCTTTTTGCCTCATCACATTGTGAAATGTTGCAGATCTCCACATTAAGTACAGATTGAGGTCACTGTTCTAAGGAATATAATACCAGAGTCATTCCAATAAATGTTTTCCGGTTTGTCATATATTGTTATATATTTTCAACCTGGGGGTAATGCCTATCTGGGCGCTGTTTGTAGGTCAACAAATGGGACCAGACACAATAAAATATAAGACATTAAAATCATACGCCATCATTAAAATTGAGCATCTACTACAGTTATAGTTATGGGTTTATATCAAAATAGAGGGAGTTTAAGTTTGCAATGTTTTTCACAACCTAAACGCGAATGGAAAAAATTAAGCACCTACCTATGCCCTCATACATTCCGATGACTCTCCCACCGTAAGCCATTGCAATGTTGTGGAAAATCATGGGCCCGACCTTCTGGGCAAGGTTGAGGGTGTCGTAATTCATCGATATGGGCATATAGGGGATATAGGTCGAGTAGAAGATGATCCCTGCCGCTGCAGCTCCAGAGTTTGCTGGAAAACACACCAAAAATAAATGAAAATAATTTTGACACGAGTATTCTGATATGAGTTCCGATGAAGTGAAAGCAAATAATATGTATATATGTTCTTGTACCTAGCGCTGCCGAGAGAATGTTGACACAACATGTATATGTGTTGAGAGAGTTACATGTACATATACAGTTCAATAAAAAATATTATTAGAATCTTGGATGCTGTTTTTATTAAATGGGCACTCACATTATGAAGGACATTTTCTAAATCTTTAATAGGGAATGGTGGAAGTTAACATGCAGATCGAGGAAAAATTGAAGGAAGAATATGGTTCAATCCTTAAAATGATGCCTTTTGAAATTATAATGCAAGTTAAGAAAACGTAACTGATCATGATCTACATTATCTTTATCAAACAAGGGGACTGGATTTCTGAACCATTTATTCTTTGTCAGTCCTATCTTGGCATTAATTGCATGAATAGTGTGGGCATTTCAGATGAACACAGCATCGGAAATTACGGAGCTTTCCGGAAATTACCGAACGATAACATAGTCGAACACTCACCTTTTGAGAAGAAGGTGCTGATCATGAAACAATACATGATAGTAGTCACCGAGTATAACAAGAGAAACACGAACAGGAGAGAGGGATCGGTGTTCGCAACAACGGCCCCATTGCCCACACGTATGCAGAAGAAGAACGTCATAAGGAGAACGGATATCAAAAGGAATATGAGGTATTTCGTGAACCACGCAACCCAATGCAGCCATCCATTCAGCCCCATCATCTTCATTGATTCCTAAAATTTGAAAAGAAATCAGTTAATCTGATGACATGTTGTACAAGTGGTTACAATTACAGTGTACACTCCCTTCCAAAAAATTGGCGACTCCTGATTCACCATTGGTCATGAGTATCTCATGTTAAAGTAGTATGTTTAATGTAAGTTTAGTATAAACTACCGATCTATTCAAGCATAAACAGCTTTTAAAATGTGCCTGGTTGCCAAAATGGGCGGGGTGTACATATTTTGTAACCTAAAATGCATAAAATGTCGCTTTCTTTCAAATAATTCTTTCCAAATAACCATCTTAAACAATACAGGTAATGTTATTATTTGCTGCCATGGTTACCTTTAGTTTCTTTTCCTTTTCGTGGACGACCTCCTTGACAACTTGAAGGGCGGTGAATATAAAGCTCAACATTATAATAAACGGGAACTGCTGTTGCAGAACAAGAACGAACGCGTCATTTATGTATGGTGGGTAAGGGAAACGTCTTAGTTGAATATCCAAATCTTCTTCAAGTGTGGCGTTCGGGTTTTTATGTCTGATTAATTCCGAATCGATGACATGTTGAAGGGGGAGAAAGCCTTCTCGCATATATCCTGGAAATGAAAATAGTGTATATGGACACGTTTGTATTATATTATACAAAATATAGAAGCGTTATATATAATAATGGACTACTCCTTCTCTGAACAACCTATCCCCTGGGAATTCTGATCATGGGAATAGCTCATTGAAAAGGCTATTTGTGTAAATGTTAATAGGGCTATACATGTACATGTACATATTATGGATCGAGTGGTAATTTGAGAATCGAAACTATTGAAAATGATGCGCCAGATTTGTAATATTTGCATTTCTTCAACTACATTTTTTAGGAAACCCTTGGGCTTTCTCTTGAAGCTCCTTGGGAAATACGACATTCAATTAAATCTACATTATCCATCTGGATCCAGATGATATTTCATTCCTATTTACCTGGTGATCCCCCATACGTTCTACCTCGCTCTCTCGGTCCGACACGCTGGAACCCTGGGAAATTATATTCCGTATACCAATTATTTGTGACGAGATTCAATGTTCCAGTGCTTTGTCTGTATGACTTCATTCTGATGGTATAACGAATGGAATTTGAATCTCCGAGTGAGGCTACACCGGACGAAAATACGATCCCCGAGAGGTAGTTCAACCCGGTACTGATGTTGTTGAGTCGGCTCACCATCAATTCCTCTGTGCCATACCCTAAAAATGAATTTAATAAAACATTGGTTAAACCTACACGTATAGAGGTAAGTAATAAGTACAGTGCACAAGTCCTCCAAAATGTTACCATCGGATCCTCACTCCCCCATATTATTATACCCTGTGTACAATCGTGGGCTTTATGATACAATCTTGTTACAAAATAATGACCAATACATTGTAATTGAGGAAAAGATTCAAGTTGATTTAAATTAATCAATTTTACTCGTCAATCAATTGGAAGTCGGGATTGTTGACAAGGGGGGTGATGCATATATTAACACCGTGTTAATCACGATGGTAGCTATACACCTCATAGAAAGGATGACCAACCAGTACCCTGCGCACAGAGTCTAGTTATCAATTACCATAGATCTCTTAGCGAAGCAAAGTCGAACGAATGCAACGGGCAACCGACCAGAAATCACAAAGGCTTATGTTCTGCTGAGCTTGAATAAAACGAATTTGTTGAAACAATTGTTATCAGACCAACAGTATACTTGAATGTGATCTGAAGTATTCTTCGTGTAGAGCTGGAGGGCTTGAGATAACAGTTCAATAAACAGAATGGGTTCTATGGGTAAACCGTCAGTCCAAGAAATAATACTTCGAAACTCTATTTCTAAAACAACCTTTTGAATTCAGATATTTTGGATGTGAGCATCAAAATAATACTATATTACGAACTGAAATTAGAAAGGTATTAATTCAACAAAGGAGAATGTGATAAAAAAGAATGTATCTAATGGTGCCCTATCAGAGATGGAGAAACAGAAATGCATGTACAACCACGTGAGTGCATAGCCACTATAGTGTAACACGTATTTTGCTTTCTATTTGGCATGATCAGTGTTAACATTGGTTCTATCGGAATGCCAAGATCGAGTGGACAATGGGCATAAATAAGCACGAGGAGACACACTTGAGAGGGGACTGTTTACAGCATCTGCATATAAAACCTTTAATTGGACAAATTACCCGTCGAGACAGTTGATGCTAATAACGCATTATCGGCACTCGACACAATACAGGGTGTCCCGAAAGTATGGGGCCCCTAGTTCCTAGTCAATGAGTTCCCCCTTGGCCATGTTAATAGCAGCAATTATTTTCAGATATGACCTTAAAAGCCCTTCAAATAGGGGTGTATAGTTTTATAACCCTCTTAAAACCTGTTAAGGCATTTCAGATGAGTTTCCTGAGAGTTTCTACCCTCACTGTTCTCTTTTTCCAACTCAATATCCATCCGACCTGAAAATAATTGCTGCTGTTAAGATGGCCCAGAAGGACACATTGACTAGTGATTTGGTGTAAAACTGAACTTAATTTTGACCAAACACTAAATTTTGAAATGCTTCTTAGTTTTTCACATTTGAGAGTTGAACCATGATACTTGGTGAATCAATGTAACTTTGGATAAGCTTTAAAATGATATATGACACATACTATGACGCAGTGGTATATGTCTGCCTATGGGGGGGGCATACTTTCGGGACACCCTGTATACAGTACGTTTTTGGAATTGGTTTGAAAGAACAGATGAAACAATTTAAGTACATGTACATTTTTGGAACACACATAGAATGAAAAGTAGAATTTGATTGTATTTTTTGTTTTAACAAACAAAGTGATTTATCTGTTGTCATGATTTATGCTGAAAAGCGATGAAAATAATGGAAAACTTGCTTCTAATAAATCAGTCAGGATCAAGCAGAAGAATGGCGGAAAATCTGAGGTGACGCTATCTGTGATTGGCTGAAGCTGGTCACGTGACTTCTTACGTATGCAACACCTCGTAATCTTATTGGAGGAGAATGATGTCATCCTAACTTGGGAAAGCTGAACAAGGTGGAAGCACAAGAGGTAACTCCCCAGAAACACACACAAGAGAGACTCCCTTAGCTGTTCATAAATACAATTATTTTGCTCATAATTGTGGTTTTATGCACTAACTAAGTTATTCTATTTAACCGAAATACAGGCATTAAGCTTTGATACTAAACACGTGTGCGAGCCTTGGGAGCCTCTCAAGCGTGAAAACACCCTTACCTGGTGTTAAACCTAAAATTACAGCTAATATCCTGAATCGGTTAAAGGTGGGGTCTGAATACCCGCCACAACAAAGAACTGTACTTATCCCAATTTTCCAACCCGCCAGTTACTTTGTGGCCCCACCAACTTAGTAAGTGTAAAACAAATAAATCAAGAAAATTTGAGTTTCTAAAATGTATTAGTACGTAAAGAATAACAACTACAACAAGTCAATCCCATGTAAATATCTTAATTTTCAGAAGACTTTATAAATTGACATAAACATTTTCTTGAGACTGATGAAATGACTAAATATAGTAATACTTGACTATCCTTATTCTATAAAGAATAGAGTGACCAGTTGTGGTTCAAATACAAAATAAACCCCACTACGTATAAAAAGTCCTGTTGTATGACAGTCTCTGGGCTAACAATATATATGAAGTTTGATAATAAAATATACTATCACAATGATTGGTGCCTCAGCATAAAATGAGCTGTCTGGCTTACATCTAATATTGCTTGAAAGTGTAACCTAGTTATTAGCGTATATACAGTTTGAAAGTGTCCGACTTCCACCTCCCTAAATCCCTTATTTGTGAGTCTGATAATCCCCTTGCTGCCGCGTATGTGGCACCCCCTATACGGAAACTATGACTTTTGAATCGAGTGGGATCGTATATTCCTAATTCTTTTTAGCTGCAACCCGTGAAAACCAAATTATCACCCATTCAAAGATTTTAAAAATTGAAATTACCATCTTGTGATGAATTTATGCAATAAAACTGTACAGTGCACTTGTTAAGACTGAAAGAGTCTAAGATCACCAAGCAATCAAGGGAAAAAACAACCAAATAACCAAGCAATAAAAGGAAAAACAAACAAGGCTTACCTTGTACATCACAATTAAGTCTGCTTCCCACTCTTTCCATCAGGGATTGCACTTCCGGGTCCGAGGGGGTGAACCCCAGTTGCCACTTTCCAAAAGGAAAAGGATTACTGGGAAGTTTGTCTACATCAAAACTTTGCCATTCTGTGGGGTTTGGAACATCTTCCGACACAACACGTTGACGGATGAGTATGAGAATTATAGTTAAAAATGTCGGTATTCCTATTTCAAAAACAGTAACTAATATCCGACGTTTTTGAAGCAGGTAATTCTTCCAAAGAAGTAGTAAGAATTGACTCGATCTCGCCATTGTTTGTGAATTTCGTGGATTTCAGGCTATTTATGCATAGGCGTCTCCTTTGATCCTTCTATTACGATGTCTTCCTATGCTAAAGGTTTCCGGGTGTTTTGTCACAGAAATAGCTTAATTCTTCTATGAAAATGTTTACTAATTGTCAGAAGTCTTGAACTACCATGTGAACTTCGGTATTTAATAAATAAATAACATATATCCACTTTAATAGTATTTTTGTCTCTAATGAAATAATCCTAGTTATACGTAATTAATCTTTTTCACTTCCTCGTTGTGATGCTGCTGAACTGCAATGACGTTTCGATGTACTGCCCTGATATTAAACTACCACAGACTTAAAAAATCAGTTTTGGATTTACCTTACGAAACTAAAATATATATAACCCCTGCGAAACCTAACTAGGTACTAACACTTCAGCTGTTTGTCGTTACCATTGAAGTAATGTGAAGTGTGGTCCTAAATTCTGAACCAATCTTCGACAATCCAACTTAATTGCAGGTTCAATATATATACAATCATCATATGATATGAATCACAGGTTACTTATTAATCTTTTCGGACTTTGAGATATTGCGATATGTACTAGTAGATATACGTACTCAAGCACTACCCACATTTGTTTTGTTATATTTGCAGTGTCATTATCACACATGTCAGTATAATTCCGATCTTAAATCCAATAAAATAACTTTTTTAATATCACATGTAATTTAGTTTGAAAAATAAAATATTTTCTAACTAATTTTATGAATCAAACAGATATGAATCATAATCTATAAATGCCAAAATAGCGTGTTAATGAGGAATATCGTATTAAAAATATTGAGACCAATACCAAAATAATTTCTCTCTTTAGAGACATTCGCCACATTTAATATCAAGTCTTTTAATATGAGAATTTTTCACAAAAATCCGTTATCTTGAAGTCTCAATGCAAGCCCTTGAGACCGGATCCGGGGGGAGGCAGAAAAAAATCGGGCCCTTAGATTCTGGCTCAAAAAGGCCTTTTTGGTCATTACTATCTTCTAATTTTAGACCAAATTTGGAAGAAAATGAGCCTCAAACTGTCACTAATTTGTTTCCGCGCAAGCGCGGAAGTTTTTTCTCAGCCCCCCTTGTTGGTTCCCAGATCCGCCCCTGCTTGAGACCACCCCGACCCCACCCCCATCTTCTACACATCTCTCAACCTAGTAGAAGGAGGGGCTCCTAGACTTGATGTTAGACTATCTACAGTAGTTGCGTACATTGTTATTCCAACAATCATTTACGACCACGCCTAATATTAGAGTACGTACCAACCTGCATACAGTAGTGAATGATTTATTATAAAGGTAGATCAAATATGTATTAGTAATATCACGATTATTAGTGCAACGTAACCATATATTGTATTATCATACTACAATCAAACCTGTGTCATGCGTGTGCCAGTACAGGCACCGGCCAAAAGTGTTCGTATATTAGCAATACGCGTTAGAATTGGGACTGAGGTTGTTTTCACATGATAGAGAGGCGTTGGGATTAGGGGTGTTTGGATATCTAGGTTTTACTGTGTTACATTATTGTACATGTTTGTGACAATGTACAAGTATATACCACGTGCCAGGCCAAAACCTTTAGAACTGCTGATTAGTTATTCGGTTAATTAACATTTTTGTGATGGCTATACAGATTATAATATTCATTATCAATAGTCACAAATAAAGTACATATAAACATGTAGTACCACACAAATGAAATACTATTCTGCTCCATTATGCTCATAGTATTTCTCGTCGTGCAGTCAATAGTCGAAGCTATTGACCACTCTTTGACCAATCACGATCACGTATTTACTGAGGTACTAACAAACTTCATTGAATACCTCCAATCTAATTCCTTTATCACATTAGAAAAGTCGTGAATGCTTGATAGGGCCGGCTCAGAGAGAAGAAAGACAATGATTTTGGTGACCATGATATTCCATCAAACTGAGTTTTTAGTGGGCGAGTCACGATAAGGGCGTTACGTTGATGCATCGGGGAGATAAAAAATAACAGTAGATCATATGACAATATCCGTATTTTTATATAACCATGTGATCTGACATTAAGTCACCTAGTTCATTATCAGTTAGTCAAATTAGACCTTTGATCGCTCAAGACCAACCCAATCAAATAAAGCAGGAACACGCGCACTCGTAAAAGAGATATACCACTTCACTTCGCGTGTAAAGTACATTCGGTACAGTTGTGTTATGGGACGTGTTATATCTAAAGGGGCTAAGTAGCTATTTCGGATCTTACAAAACACAAATATTGAATTTGTTTAGAATAATCTAAATTTCAGACACTTGATAACTCTTTACAAGGCATCTTTGTAAGGCTTGAAAATATCCACCACGAAGTAAACATATACAGGGTGTCCCGAATGTATGTGTCATATATCATTTTAAAGTTCATTCAAAGTTACATTGATTTGCCAAGTATCATGGTTCAAATCCTAAATTGGAAAAAGTTACAGGCATTTCAAAATTTAGTGTTTGGCCAAAATTAAATTCAGTTTTTCACCAAAATATAGACGGTGTATGGGGATTTGGCATTTTGTAATCCTCATAAAACCTTTTAAGGCATTTTAGAAGAGTTTCCTTGGAGTATCAACCCTCAACGTCCTCTTTTTAGAATTCAATATCCATCCTATCTTCGACAATAGCACCCATATTTTCGGTCACATTCAGGTCATGGCTGTTTCCAGGAGACTGAAATGAACTATATTTTTGGCTAAACACTCAGTTTTGAAATGCCTGTAACATTTTTAACAGTTGTGAGTTGAACCATGATACTTGGCAAATGTAACTTTGGATAAGCTTTAAAATGATATAGGACACATGCTATGGTACAGTACTATGACATTGGTATATGTCTGCCTAGGTAGGCCCGCACTTCCAGGACACCCTGGCCTGTAGTGTAAATGAATTTTTATAATTACTGGCTTTTAAATATGCTAAGACAATGCTCCCTTGTTTAATTTCCACATGCCACACGGGAGGGTAATTTATTTTTAAGCCGAGGTATTTTCCAGGACTGAAGATTTGTATCAAATTTGCTGATGATGCAAATTGCAGGCTGTAATGAATTCTGAAATTCTTATTTACAAATCCCAACCAACAAATTATTCATAAATCTGAAATAAATACCAATGTAATGCTTCAGGCAGTACAAGGTGGGCCAAAAACGTCCATATTTTTTATTTCGATATAACCTTTTTGAAAATGCATGGATTTCAATAAAATTGTTACAGGATATGCAGAAATTAATTTTAAAATTGTTCCTGAAGTGGGATAAATAAATCTCTGGACTTTTTTTGGCCCACTCTGTATAATATAGCCATACTTGAGATCTCCCTAATTATTGAGATTTTTAGGAAGTCACCATTTTTTGAATTTTGAGAGTTTCTTGTGCAACTTAACAGCTAAACATATTAAAAATTAGAAGAGGAATGGTATCGATATGGAGAACTTTTTGAACACACGTTTCTCTTAAACCAGTCATCAAAAGAATCTAAAAAATTAACACATCGTCAATTTAATGGGCATCTTTTAAATGGTAACAACATAATTTGAAATATACATATATACTTTCATTATATATTGTTTCAGAAAACACATCAAACACTTGTTTTGTTCTTGGTATCATGTTTCCAGAGTGAAATGAAACATCTTTCCGAACCTCATTGGAACAAAACGACATAAACACAACATGTTTAGGTCTCTCAATATTGTAATTGTACAAATGAAATTCTGGTTGATCTTAAAAAAGTATCTTGTTAATGAAATAAAAGGTTTATCTTGATTTTTATCGTTTTAATTTTTTGAATACTTTTTTAAAATCAACCAAAAATTCCCTTGTATAACTATAATATTGAGAGGTCTAAAACCATGGTGTATATGCTATTTTGTTCCAGAAAGGTTCGGAAAGACATTTTATTTCATTCTCAAGAATTGGTAGAAAGGAGCAAAAACAATTGCACTAAAAAAACAATAAATGTTAACAAAAACAGTTATATAAAATATTTCTAAATATTTTTCGCATTAAATTGTTGTCAGTCAGTCAACATTACATAAAATACCGTGTTTTTACAGAATGTTTTCAATGATTGGTTTAAGAGAAAACCATTGTTGAATTCAGTTCTCCTTATCGATACCACTCCTTTCTACAAATGTGCCTGTTTGATTTTTAAAGGCAGAGCTCCACTATAAAAGCAGAGAGTCAGTTAGAAAATAATGTAATAGCATGATCATGTTTGAATTTTAAATGTCCACAGAATCTAACACCTAAGACCTGTTTTTCCATATATCTCTTGTATTTTTGCCAAGAGTCAGCTGTCAGAAAGTTATTCATGAATATATTCTGAATCAGATGGCCATTTTAAAGAACGAATGGCTATAGACACCCCTGGGGTCACTTAACATTTTTTGAAAAATGCAATGTTGTTAATATCCTTGATATGTAGGATCAAATTGTAGATAAATATGTATATTTTCAAGAAAAAGCAATAAAAAACATTCAACATTACTGATATAAGTATATTTTGGTTGATTTGGGAGGTATGTATCACTTCCTGTGAAAATGTGAATTCTTTATCAGTCTCAGAAAATGTCTCCAGGATGTATGAACCCAACTTGGCAGATGTCCCATTGTTTGATTGTGTCACTCTATACACTCATTGGATTAATATTTTGTACATATAAATAGTCATATTTCAATATAGGTCATTGAGTAGGGATTAGTTATGTTTGCAATTGTGTTGACCTACTTATTTTTAGAGAGAGGAAGGTCATGATAAACTCTTGCTTTGTTCATATAACGCCTGGTTCTTACCTAGAAAGTTATATGTAGTGAGGGAATAGTGTACTTCTAAGGTACTTCTTGAGATATGTAAAAATCTAGGTAAGGGCCAGGCGTTGTACAAAAATGGATCTTTTGAAAATCCTTAGAATGATTGTGACAATTGTGTTTTATATATTCAAGTATATTTTCATATTTCATATTATCATTTCGTGAACTTATATTTATGCTTGCACTGAAGCATGACCTCTAGAGAAGCACATATTTTTACCATGGCTCTACACAACATAATAACATGTAATTCCTTTCTATACATTCATATAAATGTACATGCAAAATTGAGATGATTGTTGTACAATCATTTAATCTTCATGTGACAGGCGTCATTTTTGTCAATGAATATTTTTTAATATTTCTCTGGCTGATCAAACCAATGTTCATATTTAGAAATCAAGCTCAACTTTATTGTGCAGAAGAAATATACTGTAAGTCACAATAAGTAGGCGGGAAACGACATTTGCTAATAAAATCCCCAGAGCAAAAGGAATTGTATGAGTGAACTGCAATCACTCAGAACCCCCTATATGGAGACAGAGGGTTACATCTAAATTGTAGTGGACTCTTTTGAGGACTTCC